TTAACTACTGGGCATTTCTTTTTAAAAATAAGCATCAAGGTCCTCAAACTTCCAGGTCCTATTTAAAATTCTAACTTGTAGCTCATCCTTCTTAACAAAAGGAAGCATGAAAGGTTTAGCAAAACATCTATGATCGCCTGAGAAAGAAAACTAACCCAACTCCATAAATCTGTTATATGAAAACACTGGGGAAGATGCAGATTGCAAAATTTTTCGGATTTTAGGAAAGTAATGACTATAAATCCCCATGGGGCCTAGGGCAGCACCCTATAATCATAACGTGATATTTCTGAAATAAAGTATCAATATTCACATTTAAGAAAATAAGTAAAAAATATAAATAGCTGATTTGTTGCCAAAATGATTATGAAAAAGCTTTTAGAGCCTTTCAGATTTCAGAATTATAATGTTCAGGAAAATTATCCCTGCTGGGTAAACCAAGCATTTGGTTTGAGTGGGTCAAAAAGAACAGACTTGATGACTTCTATATCCAAAGCTGTTGATTACATTTAGTATATACATATTTTCTAAACTCATTTGATGAGTTTTCTTTCTTAAAAAGAAAAAAAAAAGTAATTATAAAGTAGAAATTTTGCTTCTCTCCCATTACAGATTATTTAGGGGGACACACTCAAGGAGAGTAAAGTTGAAGAACTGAGTCTAAAGTCCAAGTCTCCTTTATCAAAGCCAAGTTCCACCGTTTTTAAAGGCATTTTTAGGCTGGTCATGGAGGCTGAGGTAGGAAGATTGCTGGGACCAGGAATTCCTAAATATGCTACCTATCCCTCTCTACTTTTACTAGCTGAATGACCTTTGGAAAGGCTTTCACTTGGGTATATACATGTAGGCCCACTGTGTTCTATATTGGTCAGAACTTGTTTGGAGAGTTATTAATTCTTTGTATTCATCACAAAATGGAAGGAAGAGCACTTAGCCTGCAAAAACAGGACCTTCAGGGACATTTTTAAAGTGTCTATTTTAAAGGTTATCAGGAAGTTCAGAGGGATTAGAGGTGTAGATTATACTACTCAAAATAACAGTATTACAAAGTTGTAGAGAAGGAAATTTAGCCCAATATAAAATGACCACCTATAGTCATCCTACACAGCAACAGGCTGCTTGACAAAGTCTTTATAAGCATTTAAACAAAGAAACAAATTAAGCTGAGCTAATAAGACCATCTATCTAGCATATGAAGTACACCACAAATGAAAACTTTTATAAATAACCTCAGTGTGTCTTCCCAACTTTAAGGGGGAACGTCAATAAACATGGCAGTTCCTATGATTTTGTTAATCATTTAATTTTTATATAAATCCTATAAAATAAACACCATATTCAAAGGATGAAGAAACCAAGGACAAGAGTTTAATTCGATTATGCTCCATAGTAAGTGGCAAGCTGATTTTCAGTTCTATTAAGTTTGACTCGATTTGGACGTTCCCCAGTACATCTTCTGATTAACGTTAATTCACAGAAGTATCACCTGTAGAACTTTTAAAAATACCAACACTCAAACTACATCACCTAGCAGTTAAATTGAAATTCCTGTAAGACACTCAAATATCCTTGACTGTAAAGCTCCCAAGTGATTCCAACAAGCAGCCATGATTAAGAACCACTGATACCACCAATGATTGGCAATTATGTTTTATTGGAAGACATCCACATTCATTAATTTACACACTGCCTATGACAGCTTTCTCGTCAAAAATGACCAAGTTGAGTAGCTGTCCTTACGGCCAACAAAGCTGAAAAATATTTAATTTCAGCCATTTACAGTAAAATTTTGCCAGCCCTGACCTTATCATATTATACCCTAATTATAATGCTTTCATAAAACCCACTTTCTGGCCAATGAAGTTGGATGCACATGCACTAAAAAGTTGTAAACAGTTTAACAACTAGAACATAGTATATTGCTGACACATCCAAATTTGCGAGTTAAGCAAGGTTCAGATACCAAAGAGACATGGAAAACATGAATAAAATTATCCTTTAAGCCAGGCTCAGTGACTCAGCCTGTAATCCCAAGCCTTTGGGAGGCTGAGGTGAGTGGATTGCCTGAGCCCGCGGGTTCGAGACCCGCGTGGGCTGGCGAGACCTCATCTCTACAATAAATCAAAACCAAAAAAATTAGCTGGGTGTGGTAGCGCGCGCCTGTAGTTCCTGCTACTTGGAAGGCTGAGGCGGAAGGACTGCCAGAGCCCAGCAGGTCGAGGCTG